AGAACTCGGCGAAGATGTCTGCGATGCCTCGGCGGTCCGTCTCGCTGTCGCTGTCTTTCGTGGCCATGCTTGGTATCAAATCTTTGCTTTTTCCGGACTTGATGCCGGATATCTTTCTGAGGCCTCGGAAGTTGCGTACAATCTCATTCAATTCTGTGTGTCGTCGGGCTCTCTTGATAAGCTGGTGCTGTCGCATGATGCGTTTGCTAAAGGATTTTCTGGCTGCTGTGTCGGAGTGCGGTGTGTTCCTGCGTTGCTTGATGAGTGTTCGAAGGAGTCGGGTGGCTTCGTCGTCGTCTTCTTCCTTGTCGTATGTTTGCTGGCGTTGGTGTTGCTGTAGTTCCTCCTGGAACTCTTGGTACGCTGCTGTTATCGCTTGTTCGGTGTGTGCGTATGTGTCGTTTGGGTCGTGCGGTAGGTTATCGCTGGACAGATGCTGTCGCAAGTGGTGCTGGAAATCCGGGTCGCTAGGTCGAGGTGGGTGGTGACGTGCTTGTTTGCGTTTTCGTCCCTTCCGTCGTGGTGGTCGGTGTTTTGCACTGCCCACAGCAAGTCGGAGGTGCACGGCTTGGTGATCAGATCCGAGGTCGGGAAGTGACGATGCAAACGCGTCGAGCACTAGATGCCGAGCTCGTTGATCCACAAGGATGTAGTCGATCTGTGTTTGCGTGTGCTTCGAGCCCGAATATGTGTACGTGAAAACGTTACGAGGGTGCTTGCGGAACATCGTGTTTGTGATGATGAGTTTGCGCATGCACGCCCATGATCGTAGCCAGGCGCCACGTTGATTACACCCGCTCTGACCGTAATTACCGATAGTTCGTTTCTCTGCGTCGTGGATGCTTGTCGCTCCGTATTCCCACTTGCGCATTACAATCGCCTGTGAATATGAACGTTCGCTTCATCTTCGTGGTATCGGCGTGAATTGCGGAAGTCATATCGTACATGCTTTGGACTTGCTGGTATCCATATCCACCGTGTGGGAAATAAGCCGTGGTGATCCGGAGTTGGCACAACGGCAAGTCGATGTCGATGTAGGCAAGCCGCTCGCTCACAGCCGTGAAGTGTTTGATGCGTCGGGCGTGTCGTGAATGCACCAAGAAAGCGACGCCCCTTGTCGGATGTTCATGCCCAGCAGCTGCGAATGCATATCCACCAAGCCTGGTAATCCACAACTCTTGCTTCGTAGTCCGCCATGTTTCGTTGAGTGCCAGAACGTCCCAGTGGGTATCCGTAAGCTCATATATCAGTAAACCGATCGCCGCGTCATTGGTGAGGCTCCGGGCGTTTTTGAGGATTATCGTCGCTGATTCATCGATGCGGTTTTCCAGAAAGGCGGTCGTTTCCGTTGTTTGGTCGTCAGCGTTTGCATGCACCGTCCTTGATGTAGGTGTTGTCGCATCGTGCTGCTTGGTTGTGACCTGTCGCTGTCGTGAAAGGCGTTGAGGCTGAAAACATGTAGGTCGGTCGCCCTCGGTATTGCTGTATCGTCCTCGCCCTCCGCCAGTGCTGCGTTGGAGCAGTTGCTCCTGCTGGCGGTCGGAGTCGATAGCTGGCGGTGAACGCTCGGAATCGGAGGGTCGAAACTGGATGTTGGTCAGGTGGGGTTGAGGGTCGATAGGTGTAGGTCGAAAGCTAGAGGTGGAGTGGTGGAAGTCGATAGCTGGTAATTGACGTTGAGAGACGTAATGTGGAAGCTGGAGGTCGACAGGGTGAGGCTGAAGGTCGATGGGTGGAGGTCTAAGGCTGGAGGTGGAAAATTGGAACACGGTAGCTGGTAATGGACACTGTGAGTCAGAATCTGGGAGCTGGGGGTCAGTTAGGTGAGGTTGGGGGTCAATGGGTAGAGGTTGAAAGGCGGAAGTCGAAACATTGGAGTCGATAGCTGGTGGTGGGCGCTCTGGGCCAGAAGGTCGAAGTTGGAGGTCGGCCAGGTGGGGTTGAAACTCGGTGGGTTGAGGTCGAAAGTTGGAGGTCGAAGGCTGTGGGGCGATAACTGGTGGAGGTTCGGAATCGGACTGTCGAAGCTGGACGCTGGTCAGGTGGGGCTGACGGTCGATAGGTTGAGGTCGGAAGCTGGAGGTGGAAAGATGGAAGTCGATAGCTGGTAATGGACGTTGGAAGTCGTAGTGCGGAAGCTGGAGGTCGACAGGGTGAGGCTGAAGGTCGATGGGCGGGGGTCGAAGGCTGGAGGTGGAAGATTGGAATTCGATAGCTGGTAGTGGACACTGTGAGTCAGAATCTGGGAGTTGGAGGTCAGTTTGGCGAGTTGGAGGGTGGAGGAGTCGAGGTGGAGCTGGAGGTGGAAAGTCGGATCATTGAGGCTGGAGGGCGGGGTGTTGAGCTGGCGGGAGCTGGAGGTCGAAAACTGCGGGTGCAAGTGTCGCTGGCGTCGGAGAGGCCAGAGTCGGAGAAACCAGAAGCGGATGACGAAAGCGTGGATCCGCACGTCCCTGCAGAAGGACTGTGCCACTGCAAGTAGGATCGCGTCTTGTGCATGTGGGTGGCTTCATGTCCAGAATCGGCACTGGGGTGGATCTCGAACTGCTCGCGGTAATGGTAGCTTTGCCCACGTCCGTAGCCTTCTCAAGAACCGTAAAACCTGTCGGAAATGCCTGTGAATGAGGTTGGGGCTCCAAAGCCTGAGGATGGAAGTCGAAAGGTGGAGGTTGTGAGTCGGAAGGTGGAGGTTGGGAGTCAGAAAGTGGAGGTGGAAACCGATGCTGGGAGGTGGAAGTCGATGCTGGGGGATGGAGGTCGGGAGGCGGAGGTCGATGCTGGGAGGTGGAAAGCCGATGCTGGGAGGTGGAAGTCGATGCTGGGGGGTGGAGGTCGGGAGGTGGAGGTCGATGCTGGGAGGTGGAAAGATGGAAGTCGATAGCTGGTAATGGACGTTGGAAGTCGTAATGTGAAGCTGGAGGTCGACAGGGTGAGGCTGAAGGTCGATGGGCGGGGGTCGAAGGCTGGAGGTGGAAGACTGGAATTCGATAGCTGGTAATGGACACTGTGAGTCAGAATCTGGGAGTTGGAGGTCCGTTTGGCGAGTTGGAGGGTGGAGGGGTCGAGGTGGAGCTGGAGGTGGGGAAGTCGGATCCTTGAGGCCGGAGGGCGGGGTGTTGAGCTGGCGGGAGCTGGAGGTCGAAAGCTGCGGGTGCAAGTGTCGCCGGCGCCGGAGGCCAGAGTCGGAGAAACCAGAAGCGGATGACGAAGGCGTGGATCCGCACGTCCCTGCAGAAGGACTGTGCCACTGCAAGTAGGATAGCGTCTTGTGCACGTGGGTGGCTTCATTTCCAGAATCGGCACTGGGGTGGATCTCGAACTGCTTGCGGTAGTGGTAGCTTTGCCCACGTCCGTAACCTTCTCAAGAACCGTAAAACCTGTCGGAAATGCCTGTGAATGAGGTTGGGGCTCCAAAGCCTGAGGATGGAAGTCGAAAGGTGGAGGTTGTGAGTCGGAGAGTGGAGGTTGGGAGTCAGAAGGTGGAGGTGGAAGCCGATGCTGGGAGGTGGAACTTGAAGTCGATGCTGGGGGATGGAGGTCGGGCGGAGGAGATCGAAACTGGGAGGTGGAGGTTGGGAGGTCGTAAGGTCGAGGTTGGGAGCTGGGCGTGGGAGAGTCGATGTGTGTAGCTGGAGGGAGAGAGTGGCGTCGGAGAACAAAGTCTGAGCGTAGAGCAGGGTGTACATGTTCCGTAATGGTGGACAAGTCGGTAGTTTTGCCCGTAGTGCCCACGTCCCAAAATTCAGAATGTGTACCGTTCGTTGGTGCGGCTCGGGCACTGTCTGAAATTGCTAGTGCCCGCCGTGCGTCCTAGGCGGATCCTTTGGACTGTCCTTTGGCGCTGCCTTTCAGGTTCTGTGAAGCAAGCTGCGCAATGCCGTCGCACGTCTTTGTCAACTCCAATAGCTTCTCGTTCGCGTGTAACTCCTCCCACTCCGCCCATGCTCCCGCAGTCCACTCACGGATGACCGTGCCCCCGTCAATCTTCACGCTGAAGGCCAATTCTCCGCCCACTGTGACCGTGTATGGCTGTTCTGTGTCATCAACCCGGATGGGGCATGGAGGAGGAGGGAGGGGGCGCGGCAAAGAAGAGGACGAGAGGAGAGGAGGAAATCCTGGCCCCTCTGCATGAACCTATTCACGGCTAGCTGCCGCTTTTTGATGACCCATGGTTCTTGATGGCTCCCCGAGGCAACGCCACTCTGAAGTTCGCATCGGGAACGCCCAGGCCGGCCCGCGCAGGGAGGGGCCGCTCGGGCGCGGAACGACTGAGGAGGAGGAGGAGGAGGAGGAGGAGGAGAAGGAGGAGGAGGAGGGGGAGGGGGAGCGAGGAGGAGGAGGAGGGGGAGGGGGAGCGAGGAGCGAGGAGGAGGAGGAGGAGGAAGAGGAGGAGGAAAGCCGCTGGGGCTCAGGCCATGTTGGCAGAGCACAGGGCTCAGGCGCCGCGCCCCCCTCCGCGATATCCTTCTCGCGAACGCTCCCGCGGCAGGCCGCGGCTGAGCATCAGAGGGCGCGCGCGACACACGGCGCGCTCGGGCGCCGCAGAGGCTCCCCCGAGCCGGATGGCACAAGAGGCACGGCAGAGCGGGGGCGAGCTAGGCTGCTCCTCAGCGTGCTCCAGCGCCAA